TAAACGCAGCCATTTCAGTTCCTCTCCAGGATTACTGCCATATAGCTCAACGCAGCCATTTCAGTTCCTCTCCAGGATTACTGCCATATAGCTCAATGCAGCCATTTCAGTTCCTCTCCAGGATTACTACCATATAGCTCAATGCAGCCATTTCCAGTTCCTTTTACCTCATAGCCACTGATTTCTAGTTTCACCGACCCAAATACCAGATTTGAATAAGAATCAAGAGATCTTCAATCCAAGCTAAATTTATTATATGCAAAATGTATGTATGATAAGTATGAAGGTTCGTATATACGGGTCCACTGAAATACCTCGCAGGGCACTCAGAGAACTAAACCATTGTTTACAGGTACTTTCTCAAATACTCTGACAGAGAGTTCCCACCTCTTCTGTTGGCCAATCAGAGTAAAGGACTGAGTGTGGTTTAGACTTTACTCAGCCAATCCGTTGGCGCACGGGTTAGTCCCACCCCTTGGCGCTCCACCGTTCCCAGGCATAAGTTTATCATAACAACCTGTAGAGTCAGCACCCAAAAGACTGTACGTTCCTACATCCAAGGACGGTTCACAGACAACGGTTCACAGACAACAAAGAGGCAGTGTTCGTATCTGTAAGAAATACAAGTCTTATCTGTCCTTCCCCTAACGTTCCACACATGAATCACAGCCTGTTATGTGAAACAATTTATATCAGTATAGTACAGACCTATGCTCCTCATTAATGCATTCCTTCTAAGCTATTCATCACTTCAATCCAATTATTAGAAAACAAATCCCAACAATATAGAAATCAAAGGAAAGCAGCAGGTTGTAGTTCTTTGAAGTCTGGGGTTGTAGTTCTCTGAAGTCTGGGGTTGTAGTTCTCTGAAGATTGGGGTTGCTCCCAGGACCCTCCCGTGTGAAGGCAGCAGGCTGTAGTTCTCTGAAGATTGGGATTGTAGATCTCTGAAGTTTGGGGTTGTAGTTCTCTGAAGATTGGGGTTGCTCCCAGGACCCTCCCATGTGAAGGCAGCAGGCTGTAGTTCTCTGAAGTTTGGGGTTGTAGTTCTCTGAAGTTTGGGGTTGTAGTTCTCTGAAGATTGGGGTTGCTCCCAAGACCCTCCCGTGTGAAGGTAGCAGGCTGTAATTCTTTGAAGATTGGGGTTGTAGTTCTCTGAAGTTTGGGGTTGTAGTTCTCTGAAGATTGGGGTTGCTTCCAGGACCCTCCCGTGTGAAGGCAGCAGGCTTTAGTTCTCTGAAGATTGGGGTTGTAGTTCTCTGAAGATTGGGGTTGCTCCCAGGGCCCTCCCTGTGAAGGCAGCAGGCTGTAGTTCTCTGAAGATTGGGGTTTGTAGTTCTCTGAAGTTTGGGGTTGTAGTTCTCTGAAGATTGGGGTTGCTCCCAGGGCCCTCCCCTGTGAAGGCAGCAGGCTGTAGTTCTCTGAAGTTTGGGGTTGTAGTTCTCTGAAGATTGGGGTTGCTCCCAGGGCCCTCCCCTGTGAAGGCAGCAAGCTGTAGTTCTCTGAAGATTGGGGTTGTAGTTCTCTGAAGTTTGGGGTTGTAGTTCTCTGAAGATTGGGGTTGCTCCCAAGACCCTCCCGTGTGAAGGTAGCAGGCTGTAATTCTTTGAAGATTGGGGTTGTAGTTCTCTGAAGTTTGTGGTTGTAGTTCTCTGAAGATTGGGGTTGCTTCCAGGACCCTCCCGTGTGAAGGCAGCAGGCTGTAGTTCTCTGAAGATTGGGGTTGTAGTTCTCTGAAGATTGGGGTTGCTCCCAGGGCCCTCCCCTGTGAAGGCAGCAGGCTGTAGTTCTCTGAAGATTGGGGTTGTAGTTCTCTGAAGTTTGGGGTTGTAGTTCTCTGAAGATTGGGGTTGCTCCCAGGGCCCTCCCCTGTGAAGGCAGCAGGCTGTAGTACTCTGAAGATTGGGGTTGTAGTTCTCTGAAGTCTGGGGTTGTAGTTCTCTGAAGATTGGGGTTGCTTCCAGGACCCTCCCGTGTGAAGGCAGCAGGCTGTAGTTCTCTGAAGATTGGGGTTGTAGTTCTCTGAAGATTGGGGTTGCTCCCAGGGCCCTCCCCTGTGAAGGCAGCAGGCTGTAGTTCTCTGAAGATTGGGGTTGTAGTTCTCTGAAGTTTGGGGTTGTAGTTCTCTGAAGATTGGGGTTGCTCCCAGGGCCCTCCCCTGTGAAGGCAGCAGGCTGTAGTTCTCTGAAGTTTGGGGTTGTAGTTCTCTGAAGATTGGGGTTGCTCCCAGGGCCCTCCCCTGTGAAGGCAGCAGCTGTAGTTCTCTGAAGATTGGGGTTGTAGTTCTCTGAAGTTTGGGGTTGTAGTTCTCTGAAGATTGGGGTTGCTCCCAAACCCTCCGTGTGAAGGTAGCAGGCTGTAATTCTTTGAAGATTGGGGTTGTAGTTCTCTGAAGTTTGTGGTTGTAGTTCTCTGAAGATTGGGTTGCTTCCAGGACCCTCCCGTGTGAAGGCAGCAGGCTGTAGTTCTCTGAAGATTGGGGTTGTAGTTCTCTGAAGATTGGGGTTGCTCCCAGGGCCCTCCCCTGTGAAGGCAGCAGGCTGTAGTTCTCTGAAGATCGGGGTTGTAGTTCTCTGAAGTTTGGGTTGTAGTTCTCTGAAGATTGGGGTTGCTCCAGGCCCTCCCCTGTGAAGGGCAGCAGGCTGTAGTACTCTAGATTGGGGTTGTAGTTCTCTGAAGTTTGGGGTTGTAGTTCTCTGAAGTTTGGGGTTGCTCCCAAGACCCTCCCCTGTGAACAGTCTGGAATGCATGTGGGGCCGCCTGCTGGTCAAGATGGGTGGTTGTGTCCCAAATGGCACCCTATTCCCTATGTAGTGCATTACTTTGACCTGGGTCCTGCGGGAATATAGGGAATAGGGTGCAATTTGGGACATAACCCCTGGCCTCCTTCCTACGCGCTACAGCTGATAGAACAACTGAAGGATACCGTCTGTCCACACAGACCTGATATAGAATTGTTTGTAGTTTGTATTTAGTTCCTACTCAAACAAAATGTGGGTGGCATGCGTAAATGTTAAGTGTTGGCACATTTCATTATTTTTTTTTATAACTATTGTGAAGGAAACAGATGCATACTGTTCTCCTATGATGCCATGCTATCATTTTATGTATTAGGAATTGTCCTGATATTGCTGAAAGTATTCTTTAGATGCTTTGAGAAAAGGCTATTTTGAAGCCTCAGTTAAGTTATGCATCAACAGCACTCTGTCTGTACAAAGGCCTTGCAATGCCATGGATAGTTAAGACCTGCACCATCTTGTGGTGAAATGTAGTAAATACAATAGCTTGAAATAATTGAGGAAATTCGATACTCACTTATTATCATGCCCAATTAGAAACTGTACTACATTGTTATACCGGAAAATGACTACAGGAGGACTTTCAAATGTTTTATATATTTTTTTTATATTTAATGTAAATCTTACGAGCTTATTAAATTAAACCATTGTGTCGTTTTAACTCAGCTAGCCACCCCAGCTTCACTGAACTCTATCACCTTTGTATACTTGGCACTATACAGAGGTAGCATGATATGATATCTCTGTAGGTATCACTGTATGTCTTTAAAATTGGATTTAGTTAATGTGTTTGTTGCTCATCCCGTCTCAAGTTCTCTGGTGAAACCCGGAACCGGGTGATGTCACCGTAGGTTACTGTAACCGTGGGGACCCCAGCTCTGAGTATGTAATTCCTGCCATGGCTGATGTGTTTTTTACACACCCCTCCTTTCCCACACTTCCCCCTCTATGACATATTCCCACAGCTAGCTGTTAAAACAAAAATAACACGGTGGGACAGGGCCAGCTGCCGTGGTGCTGCTAGTGGCTTCCTGTGAGGAGGGCTTCCACTAATCCCTGCGCAGCGTGTCAAGTTCTCCAGCACAGACACACACACACAGAGTGCTGCGTGTCAAGTTCCACAACAGTTGTCATGACTTCCCTGCCAGGCTGAAGACAAGGTAAGCCCCCTCTACTCCCCACTCTGAAACTCACCACTCAGACCTTTTAATGATCGGGAGAGAGAGAGAGAGAGAGACCATTGTGCATGTTAAGTATTAGAATGTAGTCATGGAATAAGTATGAAATAAGTATGTTACAAAGTTTATTAGCTAAATAACTCAAAACAATAGTAATGCTAATGTTATTCATTGTGTGAAAAACCATGACAAATTAAAATAAAGATTCTCTGAGTTACACACAGATAATATTTCTTGCCAACAGAGATGGAATGCCTCTTTCAACAGCTGCAATTCAACACTGTAACAAGTCTCATTTTATGGGTTGAATGGAATGAGTGAGCTGTTGGAAAACTCAGGCTCACCACTATAGGCCTCTCATCAGGCACTAATAATGCTGAAGAATTCCAAAAACATAGGCTAAATGTTTTGCCATTAACTGACTAACCTCGCCCCTCAGGCTAATTGCTACCACATACATTGGTTCAACAGAAAAAGAGCTGGCTGATGGACAAGACTGTCAACTGACCCCTACAAAACCAAACGAATCATCTTAACAAGACCTGTCATTGGAGGTATGAATCATTCCTTTCATCCAGGTGACAAATTTAAGGCAAAAGTCTAGACTTAATTATGTTTAAATTGCCATCGGGTAAAATATCTCAAGCCTTGTGGTTCAAGGTTGACCACTGGTCAATACAGATTCCAGATTCATGACTAGGTCGAGGATCCTGGGTGGTGAGGGTGGGGAGGGTGGTGAGGGGTGTATGTTATTAAGGAGGTAACCATATTACAAGCTGTCACTGGTGAGTCACTGGAAGGAGATTTTCCCACGTTTGCTACAGCAGACTTTCAAGGTTGGAGACGTTTTGGAATAACCTTGGATTTGTGAGTAATATAAAAATGCTGTATTGTTGCCCCGTTTGAGAAGACAGAAGAACAAAAATATGTTTAAATGACAGGAGTTAAAATACCTATATTCCTATATATGTACAATTTACACAACATGATATACCATCTATAACAAAGACCCTAAGGAGGGTTATTTCTGTGGATACATAGACCCTGATGCGATGGAGGATAGGCCTGTGTTCTCCTCTATCCACTTGTTGTAGTTGGTCACTGTTGTGTACACGCCTGGGCGTAATGCTCTAGAACAACCCTCGCCCCAACTGACGATTCCAAAAAGGAACATCCGATTATCCACCTCACACACCATGGGCCCTCCGGAATCACCCTGGGAAGAAAAGAATAAATACTGTATAATACACGGTGAAGTCCAAAAGTATTGGGACAGTGACACACGTTTTTATTGTTTTGGCTCTGTGCTCCAGCACTTTGGATTTGAAATGGTACAATGACTATGAGGTTAAAGTGTTAGCTTTAATTTGAGGGCATTTTCATTTAGAAATTACAGCACTTTTTGTACATAGTCCCCCCTTTTTAGGTAACCAAAGGTATTTAGACAAATTCACTTATATGTGTGTTAAAGTAGTCAAAAGTTTCGTATTTTGTCCCATATTCCTAGCATCAATGACTACAGTACATCACGCTTGTGACTCTACAAATTAGTTGGATGCATTTGCAGTTTGTTTTGGTTGTGTTTCAGGTTATTTTGTGCCCAATAGAAATGAATGGTAAATAATGTATTGTGTCATTTTGGAGTCACTTTTATTGTAAATAAGAATAGAATGTGTTTCTAAAGACTTCTTCTATATTAATGTGGATGCTATGCTACCATGATTACGGATCATCATGAATCAATCGTGAAGGATGATGAGTGAGAAAGTTACAAAGGCACAAATATCATACCCCCAAGACATGCTAACCTCTCACCATTACAATAACAGGGGAGGTTAGCATTTTAGATCATACCCCCAAGACATGCTAACCTCTCACCATTACCAATAACATGATGATATCTATGACTCTAACTTTCTCACTCATCATTATTCACAATTAATTCATTATTATTTGTATATGTAGTTATACTCTAAGTACAGAATATTTATCATGGAGAAACACTCTCCTTATATTGTTCTTACATGTCTCTGTTTTCAATAACTTTGAATGGCATTATTTTCCAAATACACATTAACTGCTGAAGAGAAATTGTCATTTCAAGTCACTTCTGCAGATCATACCTTGCACGCATCTTGACTCCAGTCCGGTGTCCCAGCACAGAACATGTTATCTGTGATCAGGTTTCCGTAGTACTCCTTATCTGAGCAGACATCATGGGCCAAAAGGTTCACCGTTGCCTCCCTCAGGTACTGTGAATTGTACCATAAACCTTCATGAAGAGTGGACACAGTACAACAAAACAATGTTTGAGACATTTAAATAAGAGGTCTCGGACAGTATTCAAAAAAAGTGTCTCAGACTCAGAGTTTTCTTTTAGATTATAAACGAATGGAAAGGCGGGGCCTGATCCTAGATCAGCGCTCCTACTCTGGGGTGGGCGCTTAGAGAAGCGGAGGATGGAGGGTTGATGGTTCAAATCCCAGCTCAGACAAAAATCTGGTGCGGGGTATCATCTTCAATACCATTGCCTGCCGTTGTGACCTTGAGCAAGGCACTTAAACACCTATAATTGCTCCAGGGGCACTGCACTGTGCCAGCCCCTCGGGGGGGTGTTTGTGTCTCAGGGGGGTTGGGTTGTGAGCATAAACACACATTTGTAAGTTAATGGACTTGTCTTCCCCATAAACTTGTCTTCTCCTACTCTGAGATGCTTTATGAATACGGGCTCTGGTGTGTTGTAGATGATCCTCCTTACCCTCCTTCTGTCTTCCGTATCCAGCTATCTCACAGGAGGATCCCGCGTTGAGGGCCTGGCGTTCCGGGGGCAGACAGACAGTCCTCACAGAGCTGCTCTCCTCTGCACACTGACCATCTATAGCCTTTAACTTCAGCAGAGCTGTATGGGAAACGCATCAATCATCCACTCTGCATTATTATCATCATGACAGTCTCAAATACCATGACACATGTACTGAAGTTTCAAATTTGGCCTTCACACAACATACAAACTCAAAAATCAATACCACAGTGAGATGGGAATTCAATCGCCTGGTACCAGATCTGTTTGTGTTGTCTTGCTAACTCTTCTGGCCATTGGCGTGAGAGGAGTTGGCAAGACAGAACAAACAGATCTGGGACATAAAAACAGTGTTAATTCATACCGATGTCATTGTTGAAGTTGCCTTCACTGTTGTCGAACTCTGCGTGCACGATGACCTTCTCCACCTGAAACGTCTGTTCTTTGGTGTCGTCAGTCTCGTTGATGGCACTCTTCCCCAGAGTGACGGAGAGGCTGCAGGCTTTAGTGTGAGAGCTGTGTGAGGAAACCCCAACACAACACATCAAACCCCAACACAACCACAAAAACGCTCAACAACAAACACAGCAAACCCAAACAACACAACACCGCAAACACCAACACAAACATCAACAACAACACAAACACCTTTCAAAACGCCAACACAACACATCAAATTGCCAACACACCACATAAACCCAACAAACAACACATAAACCCCAACAAAACACACATCAAACGCCAAACACAACACAGCAACACCAACAAACAATCAAAACGCCAACACAACACATCAAACCCCAACACAACACATCAAACCCCAACACCAACACATCAAACCCCAACACAACACATCCAAACCCCAACACAACACATCAAAACGCCAACACAACACATCAAAACGCCAACACAACACATCAAAACGCCAACACAACACATCAAAACGCCAACACAACACATCAAACCCCAACGAAACACATCAACAAGTGGTTTGGTAGCACTTTTACATTACAGCACAGAATAAAGTGGTAATAACATACTAAACGCATGGTAACAGGTTATAGTTACATACTATGAAAACATTAGCGGAACATCATAGCGTCAGATCAATCAGTTCAATTGTATTTATTTTTACCTAGGAGCAAAACGGAGCATTTCAGCAGGTCCTTTTTACCTTAAGCTTTTTAACAGGAACACTTTGTTTTTTTTATATTCATTGATGATGTGCTGCTTTTGTGTCTTCATGTGTGTCCTTTATTGTGTTTTTATTTATTTTATTGGGGTTGTATGTATTGTCTGCTGCAATCCCATGTCCCCTTTAGGGGGATTAACCTTTTACTGCACTGGGCTATATCAGCGTCACACAGAGTGTTTCTGGGTAGTCTTATACTAACCTACTTTGTAACAAAAGTATACCCCTCACACACACATGGTTATGGGCTTAAAAAAAATACATCTTTACAATGTCAGATATAGAGTTGAAATGTATTGAATGTTGAGTCCTCATCCCAATAATACACTTTATATACATCACAGAAAACTCAAAAAAAAGATTTAATTATGAAATTATGAAAAATATTAATATAATTCCACCCATGAGGCCACTAGGTTATTTAACTGCAGGAAATGGCTACTAAAGTACGATCAATATCTCATAAATGACACGGTATACCTTCACTGGCTTGTTACCATTGAGAAATGTCAGTGCTGCCTCTTACCTGTCAGGGAAGCAGTGGGCAGCAGACAGCACCCAGCACGGAGAGATCAGACTTCCTCCACAGCGGAACACATTCTCTTTAGAATGCCTGCTCCTCAAGAATATGGCAGCCATCCACGGGTGGGATTCCACAGTAGCAACTGTCCCTCCTACGATCTTCATCTGCTTCCCGGTACGCTGGCCACATGTGGACTCTGTCAGAGTGGACGCTGTGAGAGAGCAACCAAATCAATTGAAATGAAAACGAGACTGATAAGAGCATGGAAAAAGGTTTAAGTTGCTTAAAATGTATATTCAAATTGCCATGTAAACTTAACAGAATGAGCACGGAAGAAGGGTCAAGGATAGTTATATACAGTGCCGTCTGAAAGTATTCAGACCCCTTGACCTTTTCCACATTTTGTTACGTTAGTCTTATTTGAAAATAGTTTAAATAGTTTTTTTCCCCCTCATCAATCTACACACAATATCCCATAATAACAAAGCAAAAACAGGTTTAGAATTATTTGCAAATATATTACAAATTTAAAACTGAAATATCACATTTACATAAGTATTCAGACCCTTTACTCAGTACTTTGTTGAAGCACCTTTGGCAGCGATTACAGCCTTGAGTCTTCTTGGGTATGACGCTACAAGCTTGGCACACCTGTATTTGGGGAGTTTCTCCCATTCTTCTATGCAGATCCTCTCAAGCTCTGTCAGGTTGGATGGGGAGCGTCGCTGCACAGCAATTTTCAGGTCTCTCCAGAGACGTTCAAACGGGTTCAAGTCCGGGCTCTGGCTGGGCCACTCAAGGACATTCAGAGACTTGTCCCGAAGCCACTCCTGCGTTGTATTGGCTGTGTGCTTGGGGTCGTTGTCCTGTTGGGAGTTGAACCTTCGCCCCAGTCTGAGGTCCTGAGCGCTCTGGAGCAGGTTTTCATCAAGGATCTCTCTGTACTTTGCTCCATTCATCTTTCCCTTGATCCTGACTAGTCTCCCAGTCCCTGCCTCTGAAAAATATCCCTACAGCATGATGCTGCCACCACCATGCTTCACCGTAGTGATGGTGCCAGGTTTCCTCCAGACGTGACGCTTGGCATTCAGGCCAATGAGTTCAATCTTGAATTCATCAGACCAGATAATCTTGTTTTCTCATGGTCTGAGAGTCTTTATGTGCCCTTTTGGCAAACTCCAAACGGGCTGTCATGTGCCTTTTTACTGAGGATTGGCTTCCGTCTGGCCACTCTACCATAAAGGCCTGATTGGTGGAGTGCTGCAGAGATGGTTGTCCTTCTGGAAGGTTCTCCCATCTCCCCAGATGAACTCTAGAGCGCTGTCAGAGTGACCATCAGGTTCTTGGTCACCGCCCTTCTCCCCCGATTGCTCAGTTTTGGCCGGGTTGCCAGCTCTAGGAAGAGTCTTGGTGGTTCCAAACTTCTTCCATTTAAGAATGATGGAGGCCACTGTGTTCTTGGGGACCTTCAATGCTGCAGAAATTTTTTGGTACCCTTCCCCAGATCTGTGCCTCGACCCAATCCTGTCTCTGAGCTCTGCGGACAATTCCTTCGACCTCATAGCTTGGTTTTTGCTCTGACATGCACTGTCAACTGTGGGACCTTATATAGACAGGTGTGTGCCTTTCCAAATCATGTTCAATCAATTGAATTTACCACAGGTGGACTCCAATGAAGTTGTAGAACATCTCAAGGATGATTGATATAGAAATTAAATATATACAGGTTAAAAAGTAATGATTAAATGTGCCACCCTTAAATATAATTGTGAAATGTTCTTATTTTAATTATGATGTACTAATTAACCAATATTGCAGAATGTGATAAAGCAAAATGTTATTAATTATAGGCTTAGACTGTTGTCTTCAGATAGTGGGTAAACAGGTTAGGTACCATTGCTAAAGAGTAACGGTTGCGGTTTCAATCATGAGGTTAGAACATAACTGTTGTAGGGAAGGAGGAAGTCTAGTCTGAGAAATCAGAATAACTTATGAAAGAGGATGAAGAGCGAAATTGTTGTTGTTATGTTGTAATATTGTGAAACTAAGTGTCTCTCGGGACAAAGAATGTGTGTGTGTATATAATGGTGTTCCTCATTGTGAGGGGCAGAATTCTCAATGAATAAAGCCTGATGATTGTATGCTGGGCTGCTTGGTCTGATTTCTTAGAGATTTACAACCTCTGGGATACAGACTGAGTAATAAATTCATTTTTGAAACATTGGGATAGAAATTCTCATAACAGCTTGGTCCTTCGAGCCGGATCTCAACACCCGTTGTCTGTCGTCCGAGGGAACCCCGAAACCATGCACGGGCGGATCTAGGATCCGTGGGACAAAGTCCTGACCTCTAAGATTGAGGGTTAATCCAGGCCGGCGGTGAACTGTTTCACGACAGGAACGGTGACGAGATCCAACCAAATTGAGTCCCAGCTACAAGAATAAGGTCAGTAGTCTTTATTCATGGTTTTGGGGGAAATTATCTGAACTTGCAATAACTCTTGTAATTCTTGTAAAGGACAGAGAATGATTACCAAAATCCTCAAGGAAGTCTTGCCATCGTGTTTTTAGACGCTTATCTAGAGAAAACCGTGCGTGAGTATTCTAAATAAGTAGGAAATACGAGTGGTGTAGCAAAGGGGGGGGGGGGGGGGGGGGGTCCGAAATAGACTCCGGGTAGAGAGGCCATTACCGAACATAAACTAGCCTTGTGTTGAGAGAATATGAAAGAGGGTTGTCAAAAGTACACTAGGAGGAATTAAAATAGTATGTGTGAGAAATAGAATATTATAAGTCACAAACAACTGTAGATTAGCAGTAACTCTATCCGTTCCATGAAACTGGAGCCGTAATTTGTCTTAGTACAAACACCACGTCATGAAATTGGGGCCGTAATTTGTCTAAGTACAAACTCCAAGTTGCCGGTAGTGTTAACCAATAATCTTGTGTGAGACTTAATATTTGCTCAAAATTCACATCTAAGAATAAATTCCAAAGACAGGGACCAAAATAGATAGTGTGAGGAAGTAAGCAATTACAATTGACTATTTTGAGGAAGAAACATATAAGAAATTAATTAAAGATCGAATAAATCATTAAAAGCAAAATTTTAAAATTATTTAATACCTAACAGCTCAGTTAAAGTGACAAAAACAATTATTAGAGAGTTGGAAGTAATCTAAATTCAAATAAAGGTGAGGAAGTGTGTGGGGGGGGGGGGGGGGGGCAGTACCCAATGATAGCCTTACCTAACCCATTGGCAGGGAATGATGGAGCCCCAGCCACTTAAGATGTATACAGGCCGTGGACACAGAGGGACGTGGCCCGAGTGGTTCCCCAAAACAGGAATAGAATGGGTTTAGGAGAGATCTGGAAGGCTTGGCAGCAAGTTTGAAGTTAAACACGGGCGATCAAAATGTATGCACGATTGAGAGAGCAGTGAGACAAATGGTAGGAAAGGATTGGGCTGCCGTTAGAGGCCAGTGGGTTCCAGGGGATGCCATGGGCTGATCAAGGAGACTATGTTGGGAAAATAAATGAACTGTGTAATAGCCTCAGGGAACATTACCATCGTCACGCAGACTTCTCTAAAGTACATGAGTGTAAACAAGAGGATAGTGAGTCTATCAGCCAATACTTAGAGAGGCTTAGGGATGTGTTCAATGCAAACAGTGGCATACCCGAGCCAGACCAGGCACTGGGGAATGATACGCCCTACCATCAGCAATTAAAGACCGCATTCCTCAGTGGAATGAGACCAGAGATAAGCAGGACCATTAAAAGGACCTTGGTGGGTTGGGGGGTTGCATCACTAGCTGAGGTTAAACGATATGCAATCCATCATGAGCAGAATAACAGACAGGACAGACCCAAGAAAGAGCAGAAAGGAGCAGAGTACCTAATGGCCACTCTTGGGGAAATAGCGGGTAAAGTCAGAAACACAGGGAAAAGTGAAGGCTACAGCGGGGGAGGTCGGTGCTTCAATTGTAACAAAGGAGGGCATTTCGCCAGAGAGTGTGATGCCCCATGCAGATACTGTGGTAAGACAGGCCATAACTCTTTTCAATGCAAACCCAAAGGAAAGGGAAAGAAAGAAAAAAGAGAGAAGCCTAACAGACGTCTATTCCCCAGCTTTGAGCGTGAGGAAGAGGAAGATGAGGCGTGACTAGCCCTTGAGGGAGAAAGAGTAGACTCTAGTGAGGGGGAGACTAAGGAACCCATTGATCCAAATTGTGAGGTGTTTGAATTGGCTACTATTGACTTAGCACTTCAACAGGAACAGAAACCTTATTTGATATTGACAGTAATGGGTAAGAAAATTAAATTCCTTTGTGATACGGGAGCCTGCAGGACAGTAATCTCTGCAACAGACAAGCCAGATGGAGTCAGGATTAATGGGGAGAAAATCATAGTGCGATCGGTTCATCAATTTATTGAAAGGTTATCAGCCCCAATAACTCTAAAACATGACCAATCAGGAGGAGAGGCAACCATACCCGTCCTGATATCTAAGCTGTGTCCGGTAAATTTACTAGGACGTGATGTAATGACTAAATTGAATGTGGCCGTCATTTCCACTGAGAGGGGAATGAAAGCACACATAGCCAGAGACAATATGGTGGTCTGTGGGGAAGGGGAACCATGTTATTGGTATAGTCAAGATTTGTTAAGGGGGGAATAACTGATATTCCCCGAACCTTGATGGAACTTGCTGATGATGTAGTACCAGGCTCCACTAAAATGTCCCCCGATGACTTACATTGTACTCTGTGGTATAATACACACTCTGGCCCTAGTAAAGAATATGAGGAAGCTCTGTTTAAAACCACAGAAAGGACAATAGGCTTGAAATGGTTTCATTATGATGACACCCATGCAGCAGCAGAAGTCGAATTGGGGCCACAAAGTCAGCAATTCTATAGAGAGAGATGGAGCCCTCATGTCTCCTTGGCAAATGAAGCTCAAGAGGAGTGGTTAGATCTGGGGAAATGGGTGACACAGGCGAAGTATGTTAAAGACTGGCAGACTGCTCCTAACGGGGACCAACATAGCCAATCAACCGGCCGATATCGTAGGAAGTTGAATTGGAGAGCAGGTTGCACACCTGCTGTGCACCTAGACATAGGATGCGATAATTGATGACCAGACATTCACTTCACAGAGGAACAAGAAAGTAAGTTTGAGATTGTACCTCTGGAGTTGTGGTCTAAGGGACCAGCCAATGTGTGGTTAATTAAGGGAGTAACTCCAGTCCAGGTTGTTCCGCGGTCAAACCATAGGCCATACCAAAAACAATATCCAATGAAACCAGAAGCCATTATAGGGATTACTCCCACATTTGACCACTTACTCAAAGGTGGAGTGGTAATCCCCGGGGATGAGGCACAGTGTAACTCATTTGTATTTCCAGTAAAGAAGGCAGCTCCAAGCAATGATTGGCGAATGGTAATGGACCTACAGGGGGTAAATAAGAACATAATTCCAAGAGCACCCTGTGTTCCAGACCCACACACTCTATTGAACCAATTGAAACCCGAACATTCTTACTTTACTGTGATAGACATAGCTAATGCTTTCTTTAGTATACCTGTACATCCTGATAGTCAAGGTTTGGCTTTACCTTCAAAGGTCAGAAATACACGTACGCGAGACTTCCACAAGGTTATTCGGAAAGTCCTAAAAAAATTTCCCAGGCTATCACACGTAACCTGGGAATGTTTGAACCCCAAGAGGGGAGCCAAATTTTGATATACGTCGATGATATACTGGTAGCAAACCCCTCGAAGGAGGGGTGTAAAAAGGATACTCTCCAGTTGTTAACCTTTATGGCAGGACAAGGGCACAATGTCAGTAAAAAGAAACTACAAGAGGTAATATATCTAGGTCACACGATAACGCAGGATGGGAGAACCCTAAACTCCTCAAGAAAAACAGCAATATTTGAAGCTCCTAAACTTCTGAATAAGAAACAAATGATGAGCTTTTTGGGAATGATAAATTACTGTCGAGCATGGATTCCCCATTATGCATTACACACTGGAAAATTGAGTGATCTTATCTATGGAAAAGCTATGGCAGCACATGATAAAATAATCTGGAATAACGAGGCTGATTTGCAATTTGAGGAAATTAAGCAATTATTGACCTCTTCAACGGTGCTGGTGTTTCCTAGATATGACAGACCATTCACTCAAACTGTGGATTGTAGAGAGGGATATATGACATCAGTACTGACACAAAAACATGGGGACAAAAATAAACCGGTAGCATATTTTTCTTCAAGACTTGATGAGGTGCCTCAGGCAATGCCTGTCTGTTTGCAATCCGTTGTGGCAGCTGCTAATGCAGTGCAGGATTCAGCTTCAATTGTACTATACCATGATCTAACCTTAAAAGTTCCACATGCAGTGTCAATTCTGCTATTGGAACACAAGATGGCGTACATGTCACCAGCACGACACCTATCTTGTATGATAATATTGCTGAACATGCCAAATCTAACTATTGAACGATGTACAACGTTGAATCCTGCAACATTAGTTCTAGTTGTGAATGATGGTAGTCCCCATAACTGTATTGAAGAAACTGAAAAAATTGTACTACCCAGGCCTGACTTAACAGACTTATTAATTACGCTAAAACAGGTAAAGGCTACGGATGAGGGAATGTGGTACATAGGATTTGACCGCAAATGTTGTGAAGACCCATTAGTGACTTTCTGGGTAGTAATCAACCCAGCAGATGTTACAGACCTGACAAGTGAGATATCCTCTTCAACTGGGGCACCCTATAGAGTACACCTCTTTGAGGGAGGTAGTGAGACCGGGGCTGTGGTGAAGATAGTGCAAACTGAAGGAAGTAGTACAGGTGGAGACTGGGTATAGGGATCCTAACCTGTGGTTAGAATGGATCCAGTATACGGCAAGAACTATGTCCATAGACGACTGCTACGCCTGTCGGACTGCCAAACCAAGGTTAACAACTACTCCTTTCCCCTTGACGGGCTTTAACGCTCCGTCAGGTTTATCCTGCATGGTTAAATTGTTCAAGCCACCTGGGAATGTGGTGAAGGAGTCTTGTAGTAACTTGCACTATCTGTATCCCCCGATAACAAAGTCACCCCGACCTAGGTTACCTCCGTTTGAAGTCTCAGGGGATTCTTATTATTGTTTTTCTAGGACTAATAAGATAGGATACAGGGTAGGGCATCTTAGCTCCTGCTCCCACACAGAGAATGCCACTACTAAAGAGACCATGACTAATCTCTCCTCTTTGTTACAGCCAGAGGATTTTAGGAACCAAAATCAGGCCCGTGCTGACATCTGGTGGTTGTGTGGTAACACCAGATTGTGGCCCCACCTACATACGAATTGGACGGGAACCTGTGAGTTAGCTCAGCTCGTAATGCCCTTCACTCTCATCAAACAATCCAACGTTTCAGAAGAGGGTGGGTTGTCACGTAGAAAGCGGGACCTCCTCCCGGGATCCTTTGATGAAAGGACATATATTGATGGGATAGGAGTACCTCGAGGGGTTCCAGAAGAATTCAAAGCTAGGAATCAGATCGCAGCTGGGTTTGAATCAAGTCTTTTCTGGTGGTCAACAATTAATAAAAACGTAGATTGGATAAATTATATTTACTTTAACCAGCAAAGATTTATAAACCACACTCGTGATGCAATAAAGGGATTGGCTGAGCAGACAGCGGCAACTAGCTTAATGGCATGGCAGAATAGAATAGCTTTAGATATGCTTTTGGCTGAGCGGGGCAGAGTTTGTGTTCTGTTTGGATCTATGTGCTGTACTTTCATCCCCAACAATACAGCACCGGACGGCTCCGTGACCAAAGCGCTTCAGGGACTCACCACGCTGGCGAACGAACTGGCCAAGAACTCTGGTATTGATAGCTCACTGAACGGTTGGTTTGATCAAATGTTTGGTAAATGGAAAACTATTGTTGTAACTATTTCAGGCGCGGCAATTGCGTCTATGGGTATGCTTGTTCTTTGTGGATGTTGTCTTATTCCCTGTGTCCGAGGGTTGGTGAGCAAGGCGTTGGAGATGCAGTTTCCCAAACAGATGGTGAGATACGGCCCTATCCCGGACTCTGACCTAAGGAATGAAGAATATGACCCACCAGGCTTGGTGGAGGACGACGACGATTCAGATTGTTTGAGACTGGATGAAACTTTTCTTAGTTCTAATGTGTGAAAGTTGCAGTGAAAATCTAATGAAGAACTGTGACTGGATGTATATCTAGAACTATAAATCTCTAGTTTAAAAGTTATTGTAATGATTTTTTTGTGTATTAAAGTGTGGATAATTTAGTCAAAGGGTGGATTGATATAGAAATTAAATATATACAGGTTAAAAAGTCATGACTAAATGTTCCACCCTTAAATAGAATTGTGAAATGTTCTTATTTTAATTATGATGTACTAATTAACCAATATTGCATAATGTGATAAAGCAAAATGTTCTTTATTATAGGCTTAGACTGTTGTCTCCAGATAGTGGGTAAACAGGTTAGGTACCATTGCTAAAGAGTAACGGTTGCGGTTTCAATCATGAGGTTAGAACATAACTGTTGTAGGGAATGAGGAAGTCTAGTCTGAGAAATCAGAATAGTTTATGAAAGATGATGAAGAGCGAAATTGTTGTTGTTATGTTTTAAAATTGTGAAACTAAGTCAGGGAGTGTCTCTCGGGACAAAGAATGTGTGTGTGTATATAATGGTGTTCCTCATTGTGAGGGGCAGAATTCTCAATGAATAAAGCCTGATGATTGTATGCTGGGCTGCTTGGTCTGATTATTAGAGATTTACAACCTCTGAGACTGAGTAATACATTTTTGTTTTTGAAACATTGGGATAGAAATTCTCATAACAATGATCAATGGAAACAGGATGCACCTGAGCTCAATTTCGAGTCTCATAGCAAAGGGTCTGAATAGTTACTGTAAGTAAATAAGGTATTTCTGTTTTTTATTTGTAATACATTTGCAAAAATGTCTAAAAAACAGTTTTTCGCTTTGTCATTATAGGGTATTGTGTGTAGTTTGCTGAGGAGGATACATTTTTTCATTCATTTTAGAATAAGGCTGTAACATAACAAAATGTGGAAAAAGTCAAGGGGTCTGAATGCTTTCCGAAGGCACTGTATTATATTAATAATTATATTCCTTTTGTACGGTAGAAAGACCAAGGAAATTGATCTCACCTGTGTCTGGTACAACGGGCTCAGCGGGCAGATAATCAAGTGGACCTGCAAGATGCTGGAGTTGTTACCACTTTACATTATAGCACAGAATAACATGGTGATAACATGGTAATGGTATGGTTACATGTTACTCACAATCAAAGCCTAAAAATTATGAAAGAATCAAACAACAGTTACGAGGTAAGAGAAAGAAAAGCAGCTAAATACCTCCACAGGTATGCTACACCTAAATACCTGTCTCCACAGGTATGCTACACCTAAATACCTGTCTCCACAGGTACGCCACACCTAAATACCTGTCTCCACAGGTACACCACACCTAAATACCTGTCTCCACAGGTACGCCACACCTAAATACCTGTCTCCACAGGTACGCCACACCTAAATACCTGTCTCCACAGGTACGCCACAGCGAGGGATATCACAGTATTCCTGCACCCGTTCACCACCCTTCATTACATTACACCATGGACGCCATTTGTACTCCAGATTCCTGAAGTAAAAAAAAAAGAGAAGATTTCCTCCATCAAATGTAAAAAACATATTGTATGTACACATTTACATTTATGAACAACCAAGTGTTGAGTGGAACATCTGAGGCCCAATCTCAAATTGCACCCTATTCCCTACAGAGTGCCCTGTGGGCCCTGGTCAAAAGTAGTGCACTATACAGGGAATAGGGTGCCATTTGGGACACAGATTAATTAAACTACCTGCAGTAGTTGTGCCTCCCGGAGGAGACGTCAGACCCCATCAGGCGTTTTCTGGTGTCCAGGTCCCACCCCACACACCTGCGTCCACTCTCTGACCGAGACACTTTACCTCTGTAGAACATCCCAGTGCCTGTGTAGCAGGTGGCTGATGTATCTGAAGGAAAACAAATTAAATAATAATAATGAAACATATTGATTGACTGATTGATTATGTTGTCCTTCATGAGGAAATTATTTCCACAGCTCACAAGTTAGATGTGTACACACACAAGTCACATAGAATCTTAACAAGAAATAGATTGTTCCCCCGTCAATTCAAAGAGGTACAGTAGTTGTTAAGTGTCCAAATGTGAAAAAGAGTGTTCCTTACCTAGCTCACAGTGTTTGCCACCGTAACCATCTGCGCATAAGCAGAACATGTGTTCTCCGGACAGGGCGGGGACAGGGGTGCCACCGTGACGACAGAGGCCACCTAGAAACAGTAACAAAAAGAGTGATAAGCTCTGTGTGCAAATGGTGAATATATATTTGATTGTTGCATAAACAGTGAGGGAAAAAAGTATTTGATCCCCTGCTGATTTTGTACGTTTGCCCACTGACAAAGAAATGATCAGTCTATAATTTTAATTGTAGGACTATTTGAACAGTGAGAGACAGAATAACCACAAAAAAATCCAGAAAAACGCATGTCAAAAATGTTATAAATTGATTTTCATTTTAATGAGGGAAATAAGTATTTGACCCCCTCTCAATCAGAAGGATTTCTGGCTCCCAGGTGTCTTTTAAACAGGTAACGAGCTGAGATTAGGAGCACACTCTTAAAGGGAGTGCTCCTAATCTCAGTTTGTTACCAGTATAAAAGACACCTGTCCACAGAAGCAATCAATCAATCAGATTCCAAACTCTCCAACATGGCCAAGACCAAAGAGCTCTCCAAGGATGTCAGGGACAAGATTGTAGACCTACACAAAGCTGGAATGGGCTACAAGACCATCGCCAAGCAGCTTGGTGAGAAGGTGACAACAGTTGGTGCGATTATTCGCAAATGGAAGAAACACAAAAGAACTGTCAATCTCCCTCGGCCTGGGGCTCCATGCAAGATCTCACCTCGTGGAGTTGCAATGATCATGAGAACGGTGAGGAATCAGCCCAGAACTACACAGGAGGATATTGTCAATGATCTCAAGGCAGCTGGGACCATAGTCACCAAGAAAACAATTGGTAACACACTACGCCATGAAGGACTGAAATACTGCAGCGCCCGCAAGGTCCCCCTGCTCAAGAAAGCACATATACAGGCCCGTCTGAAGTTTGCCAATGAACATCTGAATGATTCAGAGGAGAACTGAGTGAAAGTGTTGTGGTCAGATGAGACCAAAATCGAGCTCTTTGGCATCAACTCAACTCGCCGTGTTTGGAGGAGCACGAATGCTGCCTATGACCCCAAGAAAACCATCCCCACCGTCAAACATGGAGGTGGAAAAGGGACGATGGACGGGGCCATGTACCGTCAAATCTTGGGTGAGAACCTCCTTCCCTCAGCCAGGGCATTGAAAATGGGTTGTGGATGGGTATTCCAGCATGATAATGACCAAAAACACACAGCCAAGGCACCAAGGAGTGGCTCAAGAAGAAGCACATTAAGGTCCTGGAGTGGCCTAGCCAGTCTCCAGACCTTAATCCCATAGAAAATCTGTGGAGGGAGCTGAAGGTTCGAGTTGCCAAACGTCAGCCTCGAAACCTTAATGACTTGGAGAAGATCTGCAAAGTGGAGTGGGACGTGTGCAAACCTGGTGGCCAACTACAAGAAACGTCTGACCTCTGTGATTGCCAACAAGAGTTTTACCACCAAGTACTAAGTCATGTTTTGCAGAGGGGTCAAATACTTATTTCCCTCATTAAAATGCAAATCAATTTATAACATTTTTGACGTGCGTTTTTCTGGATTTTTGTTGTTGTTATTCTGTCTCTCACTGTTCAAATAAACCTACCATTAAAATGATAGACTGATCATGTCTTTGTCAGTGGGCAAACGTACAAAATCACCAGGGGATCAAATACTTTTTTCCCTCACTGTATGTGGTGGCGTAGAGCTTGATTGAGCTGGATGTACCTGATTTCCTTCGATAGGGGAAATTAGAAAGCTGTCTTTTCTGTCTCAGCAAGCCCTGTGAAGAACAGACATCTGTTATGAAAAGCATCATGGTATGATACAGCATTGGCTCGACACAGATGTAGTATTGTTATGGATGCTATGACATCAGACAAACACAAGGTTACGTTCAGTGGTGCAAAATACTTGAAATTACTCGTTTTTTGGGGTATCTGTCCTTTACCTTTTATTTTTTTGACAACTTTTACTTTACTACATTCCTAAAGAAAACAATGCACTTTTTACTCCATACATTTTCCCTGACACCCAAAAGTACTCATTACATTTTGAATGCTTAGCAGGACAGGAAAATGATCCAATTCACACACTTATCAAGAGAACATCCCTGGTCATCCCACTGCCTCTGATCTGGTGGACTCACTAAAACACATGCTTCGTTTGTAACTGATGTCTGAGTGTTGGAGTGTGCCACTGGCTAGCCGTACATTAAAAATAACAAGGAAATGGTGCAGTCTGGTTTCCTTAATATAAGGAATTTTAAATTACTTTTGATACTTTAGTATATTTAAAAGCAAATACTTTTAGGCTTTTACTCAAGTAGTATTTTACTGGGCGACTTTCACTTGAGTCATTTTCTATTAAGGTATCTTTACTTTTACTCAAGTATGACAATAGGGTCCTTTCCCCCCACTGGTTATGTTTTACATTCCTCTGACAAACACAGAAAGCAACTTTGAAAATGAATCTTAAAATACTAATAGACATGGCAAAATGAACACAAGCTGAGAAATATCGAACATTTTGAAAATAAATGCATTCCCAATGTGTTGCAGCGTAAACACAAGTTATACACTTCTTACTTACCGTCTCAGTCTGTGACACCCATGCCAGGGTTGTTGTCAAAATCAGCAACAAAATACTCCTTCCCATCGCTCTCTCTCTCTGTGTTGGGTAAAGTATCTATTGTACTACTTGCAAAAAAAAGAGTTTGGAGAAATCCTGTGGTCAGAACTTCCAGTGATTCTCAGTAGCAGTCCTCGGATCTCACGGAGGGGCAAAATGTTGCTCTGCTGCTTATGTAGAGTGAGGAACAGATGTGATTGGTTAAGAGGGAAGCTCGTTGACATGTTCGGCATGTCTAAACTGTGTGAAGAAACACTATGGGATCATCAAAGGAAAACACAATCCTTATTGATGATTCATTTTTGATTCTACAGAATGAGTTGTGCTCAACAACTGTCAGGAAACATGCCAAAACACGTTGATGATTACGTACAGATGTAAATAAGTTAACTGAATATGAATGTTTTAGGGTTCCATCCAGATCCAGTATATGGACTATAGACTGAATATCTAAAGACCATGTCAAGTAGAATACTAACCCTTGTCAGTCTGTTTTTCATTGCACATTAGATCCCTATGGGATTTCTACTTGGGAATACCTCTGTTTGGTTTTCACACACGGTGACTAAACCACCAGTCACACCAGTGAAACCATGAGAATCACCTAACCGATCCCAGTTTGGCAATGCCCATAGCCAAATGATGTCCGGGCATTGAGAAGACTGGAACCAAAACCCAATTGTTTTGTTCCACTCCACGATATCAGAGTTAAATGGAAAAGTTCTGTTTGGATCCAGGCTGGCTAACCTCAACCAAAATAAAAATAGTTTGAAGAATATGTAAACGGGTGGAACACAGGCATTCAAAAACAGGAAATGAAACTCTTTAGTGTTGTTTATGAACAATATAGAAAGATTTATTCAACCCAACACTTTACTATTTGTTCAGTGCATATCTTGCACACCTTTAACTATTAGAATTTTCTGAAATGATGGGTAACATACACTGAGTGTACAAAACATTAGGAACACCTGCTCTTTCCATGACATAGACCAGGGCTGTCCAACCCTCTTCCTGGAGATCTACTGTCCTGTAGGTTTGACACAACAGTGGGAAGCATTGGAGTCAACATTGGCCAGAATCCCTGTGGAATGGTTTCGACACCTTGTAGGGCGTGGAATCCCCGATGAAACGAGGCTATTCTGAGGGCAAAAGGGATTAAAATCACCTGAGCTGACAAGATTAATAATGTGTCATTCTGCCCTGAGCAAGGCAGTTAACCCACTGTTCCCCGGGAAGCTGATGATGTGGATGTCGATTAAGCTTCAGAGGGGTTGGGTTAAATAAGGAAGACACATCTCAGTTGAATGCATTCAGTTGTATCCCCTTTTCCCCTGTTAATTCTGCAGCCTTAAGTCTGACAAAAGTGCATGTGCTACCAAAGAGCCATATTTCATTTATCGGTAGTCACCATGTCATTGTAATACTCACTTTGCTACCACACAATCAGGTCAGTGAGTTTGATGGATCAGCTACAGTAAATTACTGTGAACTCAATAATAAACCACTTGTAACTAGGCGACAGTAAGTAACTGAAAATTAAACATTTACTTCCTGCGAATCAGCTGTCATTACACTACTGGAAAATGCACAGTAACCTCGTAATAGTGCAGCTCTTGATTGTAAAAAAAAAATTCACAAAAGACTGCAGAGCTGACAATGTCAAAACATGTGGTCAATCATCATCAACATAACAATAAAACCACTTAAACTGGCACAACATTTCCACTGACGGTTGGCACAAATACAACATTTGTAGACCATGCCCCCAAATATGCTAATGAGCCCCCACCAGCACATTGCCCCCACCAATATGCATTAATGAGTGTACTAACGAGTGTACCTAATGCTGCGTTCGTAACCAAGTGGGAAGTGGGAATTTACCACATACGACTGGGAAAAAATCCATGCGAACAGCCCTCCAACTGGTAATTACTAGTGGGAAACGCGTCTATCATCACTGAGCTCCGATTTCCCCCCACATGCTGACCTCTGACGTCACCTACTAAGGAAATGACCTCGATAGTAGTTTTTCGGCAGTTAAATGTAAAAACAAAACTTTACTTATAAAAAGCAATCAATTAATATGGTTTTTGAAGTCTATAATTTGTTTACATTGTTTATAATTTGTTTACAAGTATGATAGCTGTACTTTTAGTTTATGGTTGACGCAGCTTGTTGTCCATTATCCAATTGGCGTTTCTCAGCGATTTCAAAGCACGTGAAAGCATCCAACTGGTATAATTCTCACCTCCCACATGGTTATGAACGCAGCTTTATATTTAATATATTTGGTAAAACATTTACTATTATACTAGATTACAGTGGGGGGAAAAAGTATTTAGTCAGCCACCAATTGTGCAAGTTCTCCCACTTAAAAAGATGAGAGAGGCCTGTAATTTTCATCATAGGTACACGTCAACTATGACAGACAAATTGAGAATTTTTTTCTCCAGAAAATCACATTGTAGGATTTTTTATGAATTTATTTGCAAATTATGGTGGAAAATAAGTATTTGGTCACCTACAAACAAGCAAGATTTCTGGCTCTCACAGACCTGTAACTTCTTCTTTAAGAGGCTCCTCTGTCCTCCACTCGTTACCTGTATTAATGGCACCTGTTTGAACTTGTTATTTTTTTATTTTTTTATTTCACCTTTATTTAACCAGGTAAGCCAGTTGAGAACAAGTTCTCATTTACAACTGCGACCTGGCCAAGATAAAGCAAAGCAGTGCAATAAAAACAACACAGAGTTACATATGGGGTAAAAAACATAAAGTCAAAAATACAACAGAAAATATATATACAGTGTGTGCAAATGTAGCAAGTTATGGAGGTAAGGCAATAAATAGGCTATAGTGCAAAATAATTACAATAGTATTAACACTGGAATGCTAGATGTGCAAGAGATTATGTGCAAATAGAGATACTGGGGTGCAAAAGAGCAAAATAAATAACAATATAGGGATGAGGTAGTTGGGTGGGCTAATTTCAGATGGGCTGTGTACAGGTGCAGTGATCGGTAAGGTGCTCTGACAACTGATGCTTAAAGTTATTGAGGGAGATAAGAGTCTCCAGCTTCAGAGATTTTTGCAATTCGTTCCAGTCATTGGCAGCAGAGAACTGGAAGGAATGGCGGCCAAAGGAGGTGTTGGCTTTGGGAATGACCAGTGAGATATACCTGCTGGAGCGCAGACTACGGGTGGGTGCTGCTATGGTGACCAATGAGCTAAGATAAGGCGGGGATTTGCCTAGCAGTGATTTATAGATGGCCTGGAGCCAGTGGGTTTGACGACAAACATGTAGTGAGGACCAGCCAACAAGAGCGTACAGGTCACAGTGGTGGGTAGTGTATGGGGCTTTGGAGACAAAACGGATGGCACTGTGATAGACTACATCCAATTTGCTGAGTAGAGTGTTGGAGGCTATTTTGTAAATGACATCGCCGAAGTCAAGGATCGGTAGGATAGTCAGTTTTACGAGGGCATGTTTGGCAGCATGAGTGAAGGAGGCTTTGTTGCGAAATAGGAAGCCGATTCTAGATTTAACTTTGGATTGGAGATTCTTTATGTGAGTCTGGAAGTTGAGTTTACAGTCTAACCAGACACCTAGGTATTTGTAGTTGTCCACATACTCTAGGTCAGACCCGTCGAGAGTGGTGATTCTAGTCGGGTGGGCGGGTGCCAGCAGCGTTCGATTGAAAAGCATGCATTTAGTTTTACTAGTGTTTAAGAGCAGTTGGAGGCTACTGAAGGAGTGTTGTATGGCATTGAAGCTCGTTTGGAGGTTTGTTAACACAGTGTCCAATGAAGGGCCAGATGTATACAAAATGGTGTCGTCTGCGTAGAGGTGGATCTGAGAGTCACCAGCAGCAAGAGCGACATCATTGATATACACGGAGAAAAGTGTCGGCCCAAGAATTGAACCCTGTGGCACCCCCATAGAGACTGCCATAGGTCCAGACAACAGGCCCTCCGATTTGACACACTGAACTCTATCTGAGAAGTAGTTGGTGAACCAGGCGAGGCAGTCATTTGAGAAACCAAGGCTATTTAGTCTGCCAATAAGAATGCGGTGGTTGACAGAGTCGAAAGCCTTGGCCAGGTCGATGAAGACGGCTGCACAGTACTGTCTATTATCAATCGCGGTTATAATATCGTTTAGGACCTTGAGCGTGGCTGAAGTGCACCCATGACCAGCTCGGAAACCGGATTGCATAGCGGAGAAGGTACGGTGGTATTCGAAATGGTCGGTGATCTGTTTGTTAACTTGGCTTTCAAATACTTTCGAAAGGCAGGGCAGGATGGATATAGGTCTGTAGCAGTTTGGATCTAGAGTGTCACCCCCTTTGAAGAGGGGGATGACCGCGGCAGCTTTCCAATCTCTGGGGATCTCAGACGTTATGAAAGAGAGGTTGAACAGACTAGTAATAGGGGTTGCGACAATTTCGGCGGCTAGTTTTAGAAAGAAAGGGTCCAGATTGTCTAGCCCAGCTGATTTGTAGGGGTCCAGATTTTGCAGCGCTTTCAAAACATCAGCTGTCTGAATTTGTGTGAAGGAGAAGCGGGGGGGACATGGGCAAGTTGCAGCAGAGGGTGCAGAGTTGGTGGCCGGGGTAGTGGTAGCCAGATGGAAAGCATGGCCAGCTGTAGCAAAATGCTTGTTGAAATTCTCGATTATTGTAGATTTATCGGTGGTGATAGTGTTTCCTAGCCTCAGTGCAGTGGGCAGCTGGGAGGAAGTGCTCTTATTCTCCATGGACTTTACAGTGTCCCAAAACTTTTTGGAGTTAGTGCTACAGGATGCAAATTTCTGTTTGAAAAAGTTAGCCTTTGCTTTCCTGACTGCTTGTGTATATTGGTTCCTAACTTCCCTGAAAAGTTGCATATCGCGGGGGCTATTTGATGATAATGCTGTACGCCACAGGATGTTTTTGTGCTGGTCAAGGGCAGTCAAGTCTGAGGAGAACCAGGGGCTATATCGGTTCTTAGTTCTGTATTTTTTGAATGGGGCATGTTTATTTAAGATTGAGAGGAAATTACTTTTAAGGAACAACCAGGCATCCTCTACTGACGGAATGAGATCTATATCCATCCAGGATACCTGGGCCAGGTCAATTAGGAAGGCCTGCTCGCTAAAGTGTTTTAGGGAGCATTTGACAGTGATGAGGGG